CTTAGGTTAACTAGGTTTCTAGATTTTATTTTTAAACATTATTTACTTATTTAGATATCATTTTATCTTTAAACGTTCAGTGTGGGGTACAGGAACTCTGATTACCACATCTGTGCCCAACTCAGAAAGCCACATCCTTATTCCATCCAGAAGGGCTACTATTCCAGTTAGAGAAAATCTTGACCTCTTTTATGTACTAGACTTGTTTTGTTTTTAGTTATGCGTGTGAGAGTATGTATATCATGTCTGTGTGGGTGCTGATAAAGGTCAGATGGGGACAGATCCCTGGAACAGGGCTACAGGCAGACATGAGCTAGCTGACGTGGGAACTGGGAACCAAGCTAAGGGCCTCCGAAAAGCGGGACAGGCTTTAACTACGGTCCCATCTCTTCAGTCCCAAACCTTGTTTTGTAAGGCCGGCTCTTTTCTAGGAGCATGGAGATCAGACTCCACACCTGGCGGTGATAGTGTAAGTATTCTCTGACAGTTCTGTAAGCTAAGACGCTCCTGCCAAGGGCCCTGGGGCTGTCCTTCCTTGCCTCTCCCAATACCCCTTGGCCCAGGTTACAGAACACCTTCCCCACAAGTATTCCTACATGATCCTGCCTCTATGTGTGCCTATGTCCAAGTTCATTCCTTGTGTGAGGACACCTGCCATCTTGGAGGCGGGGCCCAAGATGACATCTCCTAAGTCACTGACTTAGCAGATCTGTTTCGATAAAGTCATATCTAAGGTACACAGGGTTAAGGCAACAACATAATCTTGTAGGGAACACAATTCAACCTTGTAGGTCACCTTGGTCTCAGTCGCTAGCACACCCCTGGCAGCATCTGGCACAGGCTACTGTATTGACAAGCTGACATTTACAGGACAACCAGCTCCTTAAGCCTACAGTACACCAGCTCTGTCTTCTGTGGGCTCCTCTTAAGCCCCAACTCTCCAAGCTAGATGCCCCCCTTAGAATCCGTCCAAGTTTCCTCTTACTCGTCAGCATGGCACGGTCTACAGTTACCCGATGGGGGAGCCCCAAATGAGGAAGTGCTTAGATTAGCTTGGCCTGTGGGCACGTTTTGAGGGAACTGTTGTGATTACTAAGCGGTGTAGGAAGAAGCAGCCTACTGTGGGCAACACACTGCCTGGGCAGGCGGGCATAGGTGTGTAAGAAAGCTAGGCATGATCCTGCACGTGAGTCAGAGAGCTAGCCAGCAAGCAGTGTTCTTTCAGAGTTCCTGTCTTAAGCTCCTGCCCTCAGTACCATCAGTGGCCAATTATAACCTAGAAGTGGAAGCCAAATCAATGCTTGCCCACCACACTGCTTTGGCCAGTATTTATCCCAGCTGAAACAGACCCCATTCCGTCTACACCCGCCCTAGAGGAGTCTCCTAGCTTCCACACCAAATTCCCAATAGATGACAATATTGGCACTGAGAACCATCTTTCCTATCTACCCACAGCCCAGGGGTCACAGAGCAGCTCTGGTTAATAGCTGAGCAGTCATCCCCTTCTCTTTCTCAGAGTTCCGGCATCCTGAGCCAATCCTGGGCCACATCCAGTCTCTGCTCCTCCCCGCTAAGTCTCCACGTTCCAACAGCACATCTTTCTGGCCCTCACTCCTCAGACACCTGAAATGCCCTCTTCCTGTGCCCCCAGGCATGCTATCCCGGGTGGAGAGTGTGGGGCTGATTAACTGCTGCCACCAACACTGCTGCCTGTCGCCCTGGTGTGACATCACCGTCCGGTTGTCCACAGCGAGTCTGCTGGCTCTGGCATAGGCTCTCAATATCCCCTTTCAGGATCCCATGGTGTCACCTTGTAGCTGGATACGTGACACTTTCCTGCCTCAGAAACACCCGCTTGCCTTGTCTGCTCTGAGCCTGGCTCTCCGGGTCTTCTGTGCCTCACTAGGCTCTCCCCACCCCACCTCTCTTCCTTCCCAACCTAAACTCTCCTTTAGTGCCTAGCTAGTGGCCCTCCCTGCCTCCCCTCCTACTGACCAGAAGTCCCTCTGTGCCTGGCTAGGTTTTCCCAGCCTCTCCTCCCACCACTGCTGAAGAGCAGCTCTTAGAAGCCAAGCACCGCTCAGAAACATACAGTGGCCCTGCTGATGCAACACCTGTCTGGGAGTCGCAGCTCAGACCCCGTCTCTGCAACCTCGCCTCCATCCTGATCTGCAGGGCCACCTGGTCTACGTCAGGACAGGCATGTCCAGGGCATGCTTCACTGCTTCGCTCCCAGGCCAGTAGTCCTCAACCTTCCTAATGCTGCAACCCTTTAATACAGCTCCTCGTGTTGTGGTGACATCAGCCATAAAACTATTCCCTTGCTACTTCATAACTGTAATTTTGCTACTGTTATGAATCATGATGTAAATATCGGATATGCAGGCTATCTTGGGGTGATGACCCATCGGTTGAGAACCGCTGCCCTAGGCAGTGTCTCAATGGTTGGTGGTTCAGCATCTCCAGTCTCTTCTCTGGCCTCTCATCCCCTCCTTCTCTGGACTCTCACAAGTGTGGTCTTCCTGGACACAAAGCCTTCTCCCCTGTTCCCGCCCAGTTTGTTACCTCCGCCCACAAGAAGAGCATATCCTCTAAGGAAAAGGCCAGTTGTGCTTCTAAAGCATCACCCTCATTCCTTACACACACACACACACACACACATGCACGCACACACGCATGCACGCACGCATGGACACACACACCCAGGACCACCTGGCTGCCAGGAGCTCCAAGGATTAACAGCGCATAGGCCTGGCTCCACCCCAGCAGCAGGGGGATTCAGGAGCTCATAGCTCAGCCTGCAAGCTTGTCCCCGGTTCAGTGAAAAACCACTCTTCCCCCTTTCTGTCTTGGTTTCTAATTATTCTCTTGAGTGTTCATTTCACCACCAGTGAACTCTGAGAATCTGACACGCCATCTGTGGCCCACTGCTGCTGTGAGAACCATCTGGATTTTTCTTGCTCTAACAAGCCCACAGTGGCTGTCATCCCATTATGCAAGCCCAGCCACAGTCTGAGTTCAGCCAACGCCAACCCAGAGACTGTACGGCTTGGCGCCTCCACAATGACATTTTAACATGGACTTAAACTGCAGAAGCAAGGACTGAAATTTACAAAGGCTCTTTATTTTTAAATGATTTATTATTTTTACTTTACTTTTTAAAAAAATTTTATGTGCACTGGTGTTTTGTCTACATGTATGTTAGATTCCCCTAGAAACTGGAGTTATAGACAGGTGTGTGCTGCCTTGTGGGTGCTGGGAACTGGACCTGGGTCCTTTGGAAGAACGGCCAGTGTTCCTAATCATTGAGCCATCTCTCCAGTCCCCCAAACAAAGGTTCTTACCCCCTGCAAGTATGTCTGCTTATGCTGAAGGTCCTGACATTGTGGTAAAGTGACATACTGACCAGTAAACTATGCAATGTGAGAAGGGCCCACCTTGCACTCAGGCTGCAAATCAGAGGGAAAAGCCCAACCCAGTCACCCAGAGTGTCACATCCTCTCTCACAGAGAAGACCTGAGACATCACATCCTCACTCACAGAGAAGACCCAGAGTGTCACATCCTCTCTCACAGAGAAGACCCGAGATGTCACATCCTCTCTCACAGAGAAGACCCGAGACATCACATCCTCTCTCACAGAGAAGACCTGAGATGTCACATCTCACAGAGAAGACCCCATACGTCACATCCTCTCTCACAGAGAAGACTTGAGGTGTGACATCACCACTGCCAGGGAAGACTGATGGTGTCAAGCTGTCACGTAAGAGTGTTAAGAGTGTTCTTCTACACACAGCTAGGTTAGGCTGCAGTGTCCGGTTCCTGCACACTCCCACCCCACAGTGCCCTTCTCTCTAATTTGAACATCCTGATGAAGAATGCCTCTTGGGTAGTACCTCTCCTTCCTCCCAGTACATGTTCCAATGGTCTGCCCTGTCCCTTTAAGAGACAAGCCCCAAGACACCCTCCCCCCACCCTGCCACCCTCAACCATCCACCACCTAGGCAGGCAGATCTTCCTTCTACTTCCAGTCTGAGCCCTTCCTTTCTGTCTCTCTCCCGAAGAGGTAGCTGCTGCTGGCTTCTCTCTTCTTTCCCACTGCCATTTCTCTCTCTCTCTCTCTCTCTCTCTCTCTCTCTCTCTCTCTCTCTCTCCCTCCTCTTCCCCCTTCTCTCCTTTCCCTTCCATAACCCACTAAATAAATATCCAACCTCACTCTGCATGGCGTGCCTATCCATCTGCCTCTCACCCTCCATGGCTGCGGCTCCTTGTGGGACTGGCTGCTCTGTCTCTGTCTCTCACCCACCCATGTAGATCCCTGTCTGGGACTTACTGCTCTCAGCCTCTCACCAGCCACATGTGCCTAATAGGTCTCTGTCTCTCACCCTCCATGGCTGCAGTTCCTGGTGGGACTGGCTGCCCCACCAAGGTCTCTCACCCACCATGCGGCTCCCTGCCTAGGACCCACTGGCCCACGAGGGCTTCCTACCTGGGACAGCTGCCTTCACGGCCCACCATGGTCTCGTGCCTGCTGCCCACTGCCGCCACTCGGGGACCTAGAGCATTTTATTTTTACCATAACACATGTACCCACCAGAAACCAATCAAGAGCTGTGTACCTGTAATTTGTGACCAGGCTTCTAGGTACTCCAGCAACACAATGGCCAGAAGTAACTCAACTATGTGGTAAACATTACTTTTGCTAAGTGACCCCAGGTGTTACAAACAAGGCTCTGGGCAATGTTGAAAAGGTAGTGAGGGCCCACCATGGGTCAGACATTCTGCAGGGGAATTAAGGACACAAAAGAAACAAAGATGTACAAGATGCCTGTCATTGAAAAGCTGAAATTCAGAGAGCACCTATCTGATGAAGTCACTGCTGTGGCTTCTCCAGTGTGGCTGACCACACACACCTGCATGGCCTTGGGGGGCACCGCCCTTCCGGGCCTCAACTTCTGTATCCAGAAAGCAAGCACAGCAGGTGTGACCGTAACTCCTTACCTTGTGCAGCCACAGGGGGAGGTTTCCGGACTCGCTCTGCAGGGAGCTCTTTTGCTGGACAGCCGCCCAACAGTATGAATCCACAAAGGAAGCTTGTCGCCAGGAGAAAGAACTTGGGGAGAAGCAGCTTATCTGGGTACCTGGGAAGCAAAGGAGGTTGTTACAAACGAATGAAGCCCCGGGCCTGCACCTCCCCCATCCCCACTGATGTCCAAGTCAACACTTCCTGACTGTGAGTCATAACGTCACACACCAACTGAATGCAGCATCGAAAACGCTTGGCATTAAAAGGTTTCTGAACATGACCAAAAACTCAAACTCAAATGGGTAACAAATGCAGGGGTTTCTGGAAGTGCACATCCATGTAGGGCCGCACGGTTTCACCGCAGCCTGGGTTCTAAACACACAGCGTACACTCAGCACCATGCTACACCCTGAATGCCGCCTGGAGCACCTCAGCACACAGCCAAGGCTACTGTATGTTATTGTACTAGGGTTTTTTTGTCAACTTGACAAGTTAGAGTCATGTTGGAAGAGGAAAGCCAGTTGAGGAATTACTTGTATCAGACTGGCCTGTGGGCATGTCTGTGGGCCTTTTCTTAATGATGTGGGAAGACTCAGCCCACTGTGGGAGGTGCCAACCATGGGCAGGTAGGTGGGCCTGGGTCATATGTAAAAGGTCAGGAGGAGCAAGCCGTAGGCAGCACCCTCCAAGGCCTCGGCTTCAGTTCTTGCTCCTAGGTTCCTGCCCTGACTTCCCTCAGTGAAGGACTATGTGTGGAAGTGTAAATCAGACTAATCCTTTGTTATGGTTTAAGCAAAATGCTGCAGGTCCCCGAGTGGCGGCAGTGGGCTGTGGGCCATGAGACCATGCTGCAGGTCCCCGAGCGACAGGCAGCGGGTCCTGAGACCATGGAGGGCCATGAAGGCAGCTGGGTCCCAGGCAGGGAGCCCCCAAATGGCCCACGAGCCTCGAGGGCCAGCGGGTACTAGGCACAGAGCCATGTGGAGGGTGACAGACCTTGGCTAGGCAGATGGTCTATTAAGAAGCTGCAGCCCCGGCAGACGAGAGAGACAGATCTCCAAAGTCAGCTGGTCCCGGGCAGGGAGCCACGCAGTGAGTGAGAGACAGAGAAACGGATAGGCACACCATGCAGAGTGAGGTTGGATATTTATTTAGTGAGTTATGGAGGGGAAGGGAAAAGGGGGGGAAGATCCAAGGAGGGGCAGGGAGAGAGAGAGAGAAACAGGGAAGGAGGGACGGAGGGAGGGAGGGCAAAACGGGGGAGAGGGGTTGGAGAGGAGCCACGGCAGCAGCTGCCTCTTTGGGAAAGAGATGGAAAGGAAGGGACTCAGGCTGCAGGCAGGAATGAAGATCTCCCTGCCTCAGTGGTGGACCAGGGAGGGAGTAGGCAGGGCTTGTCTCTTAAAGGGACAGGACAGACCCGCAGCATTTTATTGTTACCATCACTTTGGTGACTCAGCCAGGCTCTCCACATTCCCTCCCGCCCGTGGGTAGGCCGGCTGTGGACACGTGGAACCCTGGGCTCAGGAACCAGGTTTCTTTACAACAGCTCTGTAAACAGTTCTATCTGCCTGACCGCCGACCTCTACACACACCAGCAGATCCGGGGGTGAGTTTTCCCCTTCCAACTCCCAACCACAGCCTCCATGGCTACAGTTGAGCCCTTCACTAGCATTCATCTCTGGTTGTTTTCCATAGCTCAAAACGTGACCAGACAACCCAGGGTTGGTCATCCCGAGCTAGCACTGCACATGCTATGCGGTGCATCCGATTTGGGGGCCCAGGGTTTCTCAGATTTTTCTTTCTCCTTTCTCTTCCTTTTCTTTTCTTTTGGAGCACTTGTAAGTGGTCCCGGCCATGAGGGACTGCTTGGAGCAGCCTCTAAGTCTCTGGCTTCCTAGTCGGCCGGACCGGAGCCGGTCAGGCTTTGACACCCCGCCTATAGAGAGAGGATGCTCTTCTACAGGCCCTGTCATGTTTTCACAGGTTTTCACGTTTTCAGGTTTCAGCTATGGTATAAACCCTCCAACTATGCTCCACCAGTGTCCCGCTGGCTCTGCTTTTCCTCAAACTGTCCCTGTCACCACTTCTGACAAGATTGGTCAGACCCACAAGGCTGCTGTTTCAATTCCAGCCTTTGCTCCCCGCTGCAGCTTGTGGCCTGGTGGCTCGGCAGGTGCATGCAGGTACACATGCACGTGTGTGCATGTGGAGGCCAGAGGTCAACCTTGAATATTCCTCCTCAGGCACCATCCACCTTATTTTTTCGAAGGAAAAATCCTTCACTGGAAACTGGGGCTCACAGACTTAGCTAGGCAAGCTGGCTGTGAGGCCCAGGATCTGCCGCTGGTCTCTGCCCCGCCCCCCCCAAACTCTGGGATTACAAGCATGGACCACGCCTGGCTTTTCATGTCGTTTCTGGGGAATGAAAGTCAGACTCTCATTCCTATGCAGAAAGTGCTTTCTCCAGTGAGCTTTCTCCCCAGAGCTTTTTCTCCAGGAAAAAGGACTTTTTAAAACTCTCATGGGACATTAGTCATAGAAGACTAGTAGGCAAAGTGGTAATTTTCCATCTCTTCTAAATAAAAATAAAATGTCATAAGCCAAAATGTCACCTAAAGGGCTTAGATTTAGAAGGTAAACACTCAAGACTATGAGCTTCCCAACAGGAGATGGGGCTGTGTGGGATGGAGAACGGAAAACCTGGGTCCCATTCAGGGGCTGCTGTAAATGTGTTCCTCTGGGAAGGGGCTGCGAGATGTGGCTTTCTCCACAGCACAATGAGAAACGCATTGTTCTGCGCACACACACACAGCTGTTGTGTGTGCTGGACTCCAGGCAGTGGTCACTCAATTCATGTTACCTTGGGGTCCAGCAGAGCTCACCCCTTGCCCCCATTGAGTGTTTATTGGGTTACGGATGTGTCACAGGCGTCCTTGTGTCCCCTGCAGCCCCCTCTTCTCTCTAGTCCACTGCCCATGAGGCAAGCTCTCCCCCACATCCACATCCCACGCAGAATGAGGGATGCTAAGGGCCTAGGCTCTGCAGCTGTATTTAAACCTCACCCGGCCACTTAATTGGGTGACTCACGGCAGGTGAATCACTCAGCCTTTTAAGCCTGGGTCTCTAATGCGATGGCATTAACATCAACACTTCACACTGCTGTTGCAGAGAGGGAAAGGGGCAGCAAAGTGGTCCCTGCAGTGCCTGGTTCTCATTGCCTGCTCTGAGTGTCAGGAAGCAACAGGCTGGCCTTTCCCGTGCTGCTTGAAAGACTAAAGCACACCCATCACTGTGCCTTCGACTGAATGGGAAGGGGGCGGAGACAGTCAGCTGGACCTCCCTATGAATGTCATAGGCCTCCGAGGGTCACCATCCCCTGGAGAAGGGATGAACCAAACACTTGTATTAAGAAAAGGAAGTGAAGTCTGCAGGGTCAGGAGGGTTGACTTTGGAGGTGGTGATGGGAGGCACGGAAAGGCTCTGAGCCCCCCTTCTTCAGCAGGTGACTTGACACTCAGACACCAAGAAAGCAAGAGGCACAGGCCAGGCCCACACTGATTCAGTGAGTCTGTAGCCCTAGCACAACCCCTGAGCAGCCTGACTCTGGGTTCAGAGCCAGGGATAGAAACTCTCACCCTGAACATGATACCAGAGCCAGGGTTAGAGATACTTTGTCCCCGAACCTGGAGCCGGAGAAAGTCCCCGGACCCTGAAACCAAGACCAAAAGAACGCACTAAGCCCCTAGATTCAGATTATACCAAAGATATTCACCCCGGTCCCAAAACTGAATCAAAAAGGTAAAAAGAACCAAAGAAAGAAACACGGTTTGACCCCAGAATCAGAATCATGTCTGCCCCCCACACAAAACCAGCCAATCCCTGAACAGGGAAAATGGACCAATCTCTGAGTCCCTAGAGGTTTGGGATTTCCCCTCAGGCAGTTACTGGCAGTTGGAAATTCCCCTCAGACCTGGAAACCCCTTACATCATAGGGGGCGGCCAATCCCAAGGCTAGAAGTCTGGAATTCCCCTCATCCCACTAGGGGGCAGCCAATCACAAGTTCAGAGGCTTAGAATCCCTCAAGTCTCTTCCCCAATATAAATCCCCTCTTTTGGTCGCTAGGGTCTCTCCTGCGCTGTTCCTGTTGTCATTGCTGTTGCTGCCGCTGTCGCTTCAGACAGACGGAGGGGGCCAAGTTAACCTGCAATAAAAACTCTTTGCTTTTGCATCAGATATGGTCTTGTGATGTTTCGGGGATCTGGACTTTGGGTGTAACAAAAGTATTTCACGGCAAGTCTTGAGGGAGATCATTTTGAAGTCACCAGCCATTGCAAAGTGTCTTAGAATAGAGATAGTTCTTGCCACCAAGTGAGGGTGTCAAGTATGAGTTAGAATGAGTAAGACATGTCCAGGTCCCCCTTATCCCACTAAACTCAAAATCTTGCATTTCATAAAACAGGAGTGTCAGGGTGCGTGACACTGTCGCTGTGTCAGTGTGAGCTGATGCCTCCTGCAGCATTACCTACCAAGGCATAAGTGCGCAGTATGATGGACAAGCAGGGAGGGTAGCTCCAGGTTCTCTTAAATTTGCCAGTGAGCTAGCTGCTAGGGAACATCTGCCCAGCTACCCATGAAAATGGACAGCACTGTTGGGAGTTCTTGGAAGCCTGCCTGACTTCGAACACTGTACTATCCCCAGAAGAAAACTGCTTCAAGCTCTAGTTTGGGGTTTAGGGGCTTTCCCCGTGGAGGACAAACAGAAGTGACCCTCATCTAGAGCAGAGACAGCAGGGAATGACACTCGCTGGATACCTCCAGCTCCTTCCATTGTCACCTACTCTATGCCTCGGTCATATGAGGAGAAACAGCCAATCCTCCGTTACCCTGGAGGGTTAGAGCTCAGAGTGGTCCAGTCATCTTCCACCCATCTCTGCACAGGGCTCTGAACCGGCTACTCCGGCAAGGCCCCTCTAGAGGAGTCCCCACTAGGGTCTGTTAGGATAGGCTAGCCTCGGCAGGTGGTTCCTCCAAGTGAAAGAAGAGGAAAGCTTCTGGCAAGGGTTGAGAACATTCCAGCAAATGAATGAGTACAGCCTAGAGTCTCCAGGTCA